TGTGTGTGCATGTGAAAGGCTGCAGGTCGAGCTGTTTGCCCTTTGGCTCCGCTCTCTTAGATTTGTCTTGGCTGTATTTTAAAATAGCATTTATGAGCTTAGACGGCTTAAGACATTTTATTGGTTATTAGTTTGTTGCCAGAATTTATGTGGCACCAAAAGTTTGCCGTTTTACCCACCCCGCTCAAGGCTTGAGAAATCAAAGCATCTAATGAGCTTAGCACGTGTTGGTCATCCATTTCAGTGTTTGTTGCTTCTGTTGCTGCAGCTTGTTGGGTCCTGGTTAGTTATCCACTCGATGTTCGTTCGTTCGTTTCTTGTTGTTGTTTTTATTGTGCTGAGACTTTAATCTTTAATTGCTTTTCAAGTTGTGTGTGTGTATGTGGAAGCATTTTAGTGTTGGTTTTAGTATTTATAATGGCAATTTGAAAATGTGGCCAAGACAGCCAGTATAAAATGCCTTTAGAGAAAAATACTTCAATTAACTCTGAGTCAGATTAAATTTTAACTAATAATTTTAATATAATTCGAACATATTCTATGGTAAAAATATGTAACCTATATCTAATTAAATTAAAAGACATTTTCAAGATATGTACTTTGCTAATAAATAATACGTTAATTCTTTTTAACATTTACAATTTTTTTTAAATATACATATTTTTCAAAAATATATATTTTTTTAACTTAAACACAAATTATTAAATATATATGTTACAAATAAATATATATATATATTTTTAAATATATACAAAATTTATCTAAAAAATGTGTTTTTGTTATTGTATTTTATTTTATTTTATTTATTTATTTTTATTTATTTTATTTTATTTTATTTTTTTTTTGAATATGTTTTTTTGTTTTACTAAAATTTCTACCTCAAATAAATTTTCGGCAATTAACAAAACCAACTTTTGCATAACATTCCTTGCTTCAGATTTCCACAACATTTCCCAACAAAAATAAAAAAAGTCTAGAACAACTTTTGCGTACCTCAAAACAATTTCCATTAGCAAATGCAACCGCAATGTGCCACAAAAAGCAGCTGAAAAGTTCTCTCTGCTTTTTATTGGGTACGTTTTGCTGGTTATATGCAGCCTTGCTTGGTCGCTCGCTCGCTCGCTCTACTAATTTCTCGTCTAATAATTTGCACTTAACTGTTGGCCGAACTTTGTGCTCAGGTTACTCAGTTACTTTCATAGAAAATTCCCTTTCATAAACAAATTTTGTCGATTCGAGCTGCGCAAAGCGGACGACGAAATCCACTCAAATGGGGGGAAATTGAGATATAGCTGGCTGCAAGGGGCGTGTCGGGCTTAAATTACGTGCAGTGCACAATAGTTCAATAACGGATACGCCAACAAAAGAAAAACGAGAAAAAAAAGTGGAAAAATAAAAAGCCACAGACAGGCATCCAGTAGATACGCGCCGGCATGTTGAAATATTGCAGAAATACTGAGATACATTCAGAGCTCCAGGTTGTGGAGAAAACCAAGTTAAGGCCAGCAAAAAAGACAGCAACAACAGCAACAGCAACAATAACAATAGCTAGACTTTTTATTTACATTGTATATAGCACACACGTCGACGGCTAACTACAACAAATACTGGAGCACAGGAAAAGCACACACTGAAAATATTTCCCGTAGCGCTTACGGCTTTTTTGGCCTGACACTCGACATAAGTTATTATTTGCCCTGGCAATAAGCAGTTGTTGCCGAGGGGGGGAGGGATGGTGGGGGCGGGCCAGTTCCTGCCACACAGTGTCCAGGATGTACAGCTCCAGTTTGCTAGTCAATTGTGCTGTGGCCCCTCGCTAACTTGTTGTTGTTGTTGTTGTTGCTGTTGCTGTTGTTGTCTTTTGGCTGTCTTGACTCTGGCGTATCTGTCGCTGAGTCTCTCTGTTTCTGTCGCCCGCCTTTCAATACCACTTTCATGGGCCACCGCTTGCTGAATCGGGGAGGGCAGTTTGAGGAATTCTGCAGGTGTATTAATGAAAAATTATTGCATGGCCTAAAAGTAGATTTGTTGTTTCACAATTTATTCTAGTTTAGTTAAGTACAAAATCAGCTGTTAAAATCTTGGCTTGGTATTATTTATTGTTTTAATTCAATATTTAAAATTTAAAAAAAAAATCTTTTTATAGACTAAAACATAAAAAAAAATTATTTCAAATAAAAATAACGATATAAAAATATAAATAATAACAAAAGAAATATAATATTAATAAAAATAAAAAATAATAATAAACATAATGATAATAGAAAATTAAATAAAAATTATAATTAATTTTCAAAAATTTTATATGAATATAATGTATAATAAATAATAATAAAACAAATAAATAATAAAAATAAATAAAAAGAATTTACTTTTAATATGTTCTTTTTTTATACCCTGAACCCATTTTCAATGGGAAATCAGGGTATAATGGTTTTGTTGAAATGTATGTAACAGGGAGAAGGAGGCGTGGCAGACCCCACAAAGTATATATATTCTTGATCAGGGTGACGAGCTGAGTTGATTTGGCCCTGTCCGTCTGTCTGTCCGTCTGTCCGTCTGTCCGTCTGTCCGTATGTATGAACGCGTCGATTTCAGAAGATATAAGAGCTAGAGACTTCAAATTTTTTTTTAAAATGTCCGTAATTACAGCGCGCATATCAAGTTTATCATTAAAAATCGATAACTCATCTCGATATTTTTTTATCGATAAAAACCCTTATCGAAACCCAGTTATAAAATTATATCTTCTACACCTTTATTGCTAGAGTCTCCAAATTTTTAATGTATGCTTATATGCAATTTATACAATTTCGGTTTTTGTTAAAATTTACCCCCCCACCTCTAAATTCACCCCCTCACCCTCACTTTTGTAAAAAGCGTATTTCAAATACTAGAGACTTGTGCTTTGGCAATTACATGCATATTCATGTTATAATCATAATCTAAAAGTTTCATGAAGATCGTACGTCCATAAAAAAAGTTATTAAACAATTAAGTTCTCATAGTAAGCGCACACTGCAGCCCATGCGTGTTTATGCATGGTTGCTTGTGTGTGTATGTGTTTGTGTATGTGTGTGTGTATGTGTGTCTGTATGCGTGTGTGTGTATGTATGCCTGTGTTTGCGTACGTGCGTGTGTGTGTGTGTGTGTGTGTGTGTTTTCTTGTGTAAGCTGAAAGTCGCGAAAAAGTATTGAAATATCTATTGCTCCAAGGGTTCAGGGGATCTCGTAGTCGAGCAGTCTCGACTAGAGCTTTCTTACTTGTTTTATTTTAATATTATTATTTTAAATGTTTTCTATTATATTTATTTATTTTTATTAAATTTATATTATTATTATTATTTTAGATGCTTTCCATTATATTTATTTATTTTTATTAAATTTAATTTAATTGTCTATAGTTTAATCTAGACTCTTAACTAGATTTCTGTTCTATATATTCCGTCAATATTATTTTATATTTCTTTCCCTTATCTCTCAATTCTCTTGCTCTACCTCAAACAATCTTTCAAGCAACTCTCGCTGACATTGTTTTTAGCTATTTGCTGCTGGCTTTTGTTTGGCACTCCTCGGCTGGTAAATAATGGTTAGTTTTTGATTTCAAACAATAATTCAATGGCATAGCAGCGGAGCAAAGCAGAGCCAAGCACTGCGCCAACTGGGGTAGAAAAGTATCTCTGCGCGTTGCTCGCATCCAATCCAATGGCGGGGCTGGCAGTCAATTTGGTGGCGCTTTGCTGACCATTTTTGGGTGGCCCCGCAGTTCGAAGCGTTGCGACGCCTCCTCGAGATGCTCGAGCGAAGCCGCACGCGTTCCTCTTCTCACTGTTGTTGTTGTTGTTGTTGCTGGCGAGTTGGCCATAAAAAGTAAGACAAGTTCCAGAGCGACGCGTTGCCAGGCTGTCGCCTCAGTTGCCTCTTGGCGCGACTCTCTTGGCCTGGGCCTGTCAGCTGAAGCTGTTAGATACAATTACAGTTAGCTGCTATAGACGAGACATACTGTAGATACAGCTACGTAGTGTCGACTGAGCTTGGCGGCACTTCTCTCTGTGGCTTTTGATGTATCAAGCTGTGCCCCTCCGGCTTTCTAGCAAAACTCATGTGCGGTCCTCCATCTGCAGTTGCTCTATGCTGTTGCCCTCTCCCTCCCTCTCTCTCTCTCTCTCTCTCTGTGTTTATTTCATCTGATATGATCTGTCTGTAAGACGAAACAGAGACAGAAGCAGAGCCAGAGTCAGAGTCAGAGTCAGTCGCAGCCAGATTTTATTGTTTCAAATGTAAGATTTGTGCTTTGATTCGCTTATCGTGCTTAGCCTGCATCTGTATCTCTCCATCTGCATGTGCAGATACGTTGAGTCAATTTCTGCCTGCCGGCCTGCCTGCTGGCATCGCACAATTTGCTACATATACAAAATACCTGAGCTGTGTGAATCATCAGATACGTTTCGCTTTGGCTAACTGCGACAAGTGTTTTTGGTCTGTGGAAAATTGCATAATTGGCATGTGCGCCGTGGTCAGCCCATATATAATCGCCCCAATGATTCATCATCATTGCCTTACAGCTCTCAACTCTCTGATCTGACCTCAGAGATAGGCAAAGTGTGTGGCCAAAGTTGAAGGCAGTTCAAAGCATTAGCTAAGCTATCGATTGCATCGCAAACTAAATGTTTTGCAGAGCTCTTTTTACTGCTGGAAAGCATAGCTTGCTTTGAGATGGAGAATATCTAATTGATTTCAGCATGGGCAGGGTATTTCTTAGTCGAGCAGTTTCGACTCTCACTTGTTGGATTTATTAAATGTGGCTAAAATTCACAATAAATATCATAGAGTCCCAGATGAAAGCCTTTCCAATCAGATTGGAGCTGTTTAGTGCGCCTTTCTATGTGATTCTCAGAAATTTAGCTCAGCTCTTATTATTATATTACGAATTTGTTAAGTAATCTTATATAAATATAAGTCAATATTAATTAATTTATAATTCTTTCTTCTTCTTACAGCCATGCCTGCCTATACGAGACAGCTTCCTCCCACAAATTAATGCCAATTCATTTATTTAATTGCGCATTTTTTGGTAAGTCTTCATTAAAGAGTTTTCAGTTTCGTGTTTGGCTTATGGAATCATTGGAATTTTCTCACGCCACAAATTGCAATTGCCCATCATGCAAATACTTAAAAACCAGACAGCAACGCAAACATGAGCGTAAATTAAAAGATCTGAGCCAAAGCCAGCTGGCTGACGGCGAAATTAACTTTATTCAATCAACGTTTCCAGTGAAACTGAAATAATATTTATGTCATTTTGCTTGTTGACACAAGCCGAAAACGAATGTGCCTCGATTTCATTTAAAGCCTGGATATTTACATGAGAGCTGAAATGGAATCGCTGTTAATCGCCTTAAGGACTGGCAAATATTGTCAAAGGCAACAGTTCTTAACTTGCGCCTGAACCAAATCAATTGATTTCTTATTTATAAAGTGAATGTGAGTGCCACACGTTTCTCATACACGTATATATGTATGTATATAAGTCAGAGATAGAGAGAGTGGGTCTGGTATTTCTAGCTGTAAGAGTTTTCGGGTAGCCAATGGCAGCACCTTCTAAGCTCTAGGCAAACAAGACCAAGCAAGCTAAGGCAGGAAAATGCCACGTTGGGAGAAGTAAACAAACAAGACCATAAATAAATTATTTACATTGGCCCGAACGTCTTTGCGGGACGGGGCTGGTGGGGGTGGCTTGTGCTAGGTAGTTTGAGGAGGTGGTGGTAAATATTCTTTATTTTTTTGCAAAATCAACAAAACTGAAATGACAAAAAGGCAGTCGGCCGGCAAAAGCTGACAATGCCATAAGACGCCGGCGACTTGGGACGTGGCGCATTATCAAGGCAAACAGAGGCATAATGGACGCGCATAATGGAGCAGGACAACAACAACTACAAAAGCAGCAGCAACAACAAAAAACTCAGACTTAAATTGAACAACTAATAGTGGCAGGAAAAAAAGGCAGCAAAGGGCGATGTGTGTGGTCCGCTAGCGAAATTAAATGAGCCAAGGAAATGGACTTGAGCCTTGCCTTTGCCCATGGAGAGAACCAAGGGAGTAGTTAGTGCGCTTGCATAGGGCTGGCCCATTGTGTTAATAAATAAATAAATAACCGCAACGATTTGACTTACGGGCTTATGGGACTACAAAAAAAAAAAAAAAAAAAAAAAAAAAAACTAAATACTAGCGGAAAAACTACGTACAACCGCTATAAATACATCACAGTGGGCGTGGCCGGGCTTAAATGCTTAATGTGCTGGGCTTTAAGCCAACCCCAAGCTGAATATTAAAGCTAATGCAACTGCGATGATTTGCATTTGTGCGGCTTACAGTAGAATAAATTGATAAAGGAAATGCACAATTTGTGCAGCCATCCGTAATGAGGGGCTATCTAAACGATATAGATATTATAGTTTTTTTTCTAATGGATAACAAATTGATATTAAATTAAAGTAAAGTATTAACAATAATGCGAATATTAGTGATATATTAGCAAACAATACAAATGCTAAAAAGGGGGGAATTTCTTCCGTTTCTGGTTGAAAAGGATTTAATATAATTAAAATTTTTAATCCGCTATAAATGTGTCAGCAGGGTGGGTTAATATAGTAGTGAGAGATTAGGTGAGAGAAATCTCTTTCCACTATTTGTTGATTTGAGCCATATAATTCTGATTCATATACTTCTCTAATAATTTATTTTGCTCTAAACGGCGTGAATATTGATATGTAATATCAACAAGAGAATTACAAATATAAAATAATAAATAAATAAGTAAATACATATTTAACTATTCTTTTTGAAACTCTAACTCTTCTGTATGGACGTGCCACTCAGAAGTAAAGACCTCAGCAAAGAATTATTTGAGAACCTCACCAACTTAGCCCATGAGCTCACATTTGATTTTAATGCTCGAAATGGAAATGAAATGAAATGAAACTGAAATGAAATGAAATGAGAATTGGCTGCCAGATCAGAGCAAGTCGGCTGACCCATTCGATCTTTTAAGAGCTAAAGAGCTCTCTTTTGTGTGATCCGATGCGTGAGAAGAAGAGGATGATTTCTAGGGCAGCGTTTGCTTAATTTTCTCTTCGGAGTTTTTATATATAAAATAGGAGCATCAGAGTCCTCAAGATTCGCCAATTGCTTGCTAAAGTTTAGTGACTAGCTGAGTAACTGAAGAATACACAGTTATTGTTCAGCTGTCAAATTTTAGATTAGCAAAATTAAAATTTTATTCAGTAATAAAATTTTGTTCACTGAACAGAATACCAAGACTCCTTAATAGCTTTCAAAGCACCATCGATTATTTTATTTATACTGCAGATTTCATAAAATACCATATATACTATATCTATTCACACAGACAGTCAACCATTTATAAAAATAAAAAAAAGAACAAAATATTCCTTTCACTTCAAAATCAATTATAAAATTTTAATAAGCAACTGCAAATTATAAGCTGATGTGAGAAATTGTTAGAAAATTAAATTAAAAATAGCAACAATAAACGATGTTTGCTGTCTGGGAAAAAAATGTGATTAGTTTGAAATTTATAAAATTTATTTCAAGCGCTTCATTATCTCGATTTCAGTCGCTGAGTTCTTGCCCCGAAGGCAGCTCAATGCGCATCAGCACCCAATTAACCTTAAAAATAAAAATAAAAAAATACAACAAAAATGAAAACAAAAAGCATTTTTGTTATCAATGACAGCTGATATTTTTTTTAATAAATATTATAATATATGTATATATTTGCATAAGATAATTACGCTAAACGTTATGCGCATTTATTTCCCATTGATTTTGCATGTATTATGTGAAACGATTTAACAACAACAAAAATAATAGAAAAATGCATTTTAAGGTTTTCTTTGAATGCTGCTGGCGGTTTATTAAATATGCAAATCGTTGCGAGCTGAAAACTTAAATATGCAGCTTACAAAAGACCGAACTAGTTAGCCAGCAACATTTTATAAAAAGCGAACAAAATTTTTGCATAATGCGTCAACAAGATATAAACATAAACATATATTTATATATGTATATAAAAAATGTATATATATAAATGTTTTGTTGTTTTTATTTCTTTCACCCTGTCAGCCAGATTATATGGCCATAATAAATGAGTTCGATCCGCTGCTGTGACCCTAATGAGCTGCACTCGCTTAGGACAACTTAAACACGTCTCTGCCCCTTCGAGCGCATCAAATCAAATTTGAATACGACGAGCTGCAGCTGCGTCTCTGCCAACTCGCAGACGTTAACAAATTTCGATTTCCGATTATGTCATTAGCCACCCCGCCCCCACAGATTCGTATGAAACTGACCCAGTTTATATTGAAATTACATTTTCTACATACATATATATCAATAATAAAACATGTTTTGCCTGAAATCGCATACATTTTGCCTCAATTATTATTTAATTGCACTTTCAATTTTGCAATCTGTGTGCCCCAAACACACACACACACAAACACATAGCTCAATTTATCAATGTATTTTCTTGTTTGGGGAATTGCACAGAACGTCGCAGCTTAAGCATATGTATTTGATTTGATATTCAATTTAGCTACGCAAAAGTCAAAACTCTGACGGATTAAGGTTACCCCTGCCACGTGGAAAGTGAATTGAAATCTCAAGTCCAAGTGGACTTGGCTTGTGCATACTCGAGTACATTTCTTATATGGCTTAAATCATGCATTGAAATTGTGGATTTCTTTTAAAGGAGCTTTATGGCTTTTACTACTAAAATTGAAATATGATTTTTTGTGAAGAGCTTTATGGCTTTTACTAAATGTATACTTAATAAATTAGGATTTTTGGTAAGAAATTTTATGGTTTTTATTAAAAATATACTCAATGAATTAAGATTTGGTTCAAGAAAATAAATATATTTTTTATTATTTAGGATTTTTTCTAGTACGTTCTTAAGGATAAGAATATATTTTTATATTATATATATATTTTTTATATATATTTAAATTATTATTGCTTTAATATTAAACAACATAGATCATTTAATATTAAATTACTTAGCGAGGAGGGTGAAGGTGGAAAGGAAGTGTAGAATATGTTGATAAAAGGGGAGAAGAGAAAAGCAAATAGTAGATGAAGTCAAGAAACATTAAAAATCCAACCATTAAACCATTAATTGGCGGCCGTAATTTATACCAAAAGAATATGCCAAAAATAAAAAAATAAAAATAAAATAATAAAACTTCAAAATGATTATATGCATACGCTATTTCACTCAAATTAAAAGAGTATATTAGGTTAGCTTTTAAGAAGCCAAATTGCACAAAATATAGCACAGAACTAAATAATTTTCTATAATATTATTCATTGCAATATCTCTACTTTAGCATATCAATTAAAGTTTTAATAAGCTATAAAACTCTTCCACACCTAATTTTCCCATTTTCCTGGAAACTCTTATCTAGACAGTATTTAAAAAATACCAAACTCTATGCATAGTTAAAGCAATTTACTTTGTGCATTATTTAGATAAGTTTTTCAACCTAGCTGCCACCCAGACAGACAGTGCGACGCTTCACATGGGCTTTTAGTTGAAAACAAATCAGTATAAATTACATAAGACTTGAACAATTTATGCACGCACTTTTGTGAACTTAAAAACGTTTTGTGTGCTCTTTTTCGATGCGTTGTTGTTGCGTTGCCCGCTGCCGCTCCATTTTGGGGCCCACTGGGTGTGCGTATTCCCCAAGTTTGTTTACATTTTCGATGGTTGCTGGTAATTGCCGAGCGTAATTTATGCCAGTGTCGGCCGGGCCCAAAGTCAATGTCGCGCGAGCCCAGCGAACAGGGGCCGAGCCAAAAGCGAAACCAAGTGCAAACAGAGACGAGACAGCCAGCCGATACAGCAGCAGCGGACACGGAAAACCGTTTATCTGAGCAAATGTATCTCAAGGCAGTAATTACAATTTATTGTTGGTAATTATGTAATTTCAGATGCGACAGATATAGTTGACAAACCGAGTGCGTGTATGCAGCCAATTGCTCTATGAG